CAGCATTTTGGCCTAGCATCCTTGCCTGTTCGTTTGCTGTAACAAATTGTCGTAGAGCTACAAAAATCATCGCATAAACTAAAAACGGAAAAAAAAAGAAGAGGAAGGGAAAAAAGGTAGATAGATATGTTAGTAGGATGAAGTAGCGACTATTAACATATAGCTTTTTTTTTTAAATGTATAATGAAAAGATAACAATGATAATGATAACGATATATTAAAATGATTGCTAGTGCTACTGTTACTACTACTATTCCTGCTGCTGCTGCTACTGCTGCTGCTGTCGTTGTTGTTATTTCTCAGTGTTTTTTAACAACAATTACTGAGAGTTTTATTTCTTTTTTTTTTTTTTTATTGTTAAAAGGTTTGATGTATCATTTCATTTTACATATAGGATAAGCTAATATCCTTTTCCCTCTGAAAAATGGAACGAATTGCATTTACTTGAGCTGCTTTTCAACATACAACACACTTTTAAACACTCAAAATTCATCTAACATAAACTATCATCAATCAGTTAAGGAATCAAAGATAACAGCCTTCATCACAACCAATCTATCGTCATCACCGCCATTTGCACGAAAGCATTGCCGTTGCTGGGAGATACCGCCCGTATCTCGTGAAGTCCGTGAAGGGTAAATGGTGAGCGCATGTCGCATCATTGATGTGTATGTAGTGTATGTATATAGCTGAACTCCGCCTCTCTTCGGCTATCTACCTGTTAAATAATAGATGGCATCCATCTTTCCAACCTCTTCCTACTCTTGCTTTCCTCTTCTACAAGGTATCAATGACCGTATCCTTGGATAACATAGCAACTTAGTGCTCTCTCTCTTACTCTCTTATTTTCTTTCTACTTACTTTACAGCTTTAATTCTTTAACATTTGGGTGTAATAATGGTTAAGCTTACATATGAATGTATTTGACTGAATGTAAATGTTTAGGTAGTATTATCTCTTAGGACGGGAAATGAGATAAAACGGGAGACTGATAAATTGATAAGTTAAAAATGAACTATTCTATATTTTCAAGTTGACCTTTCACTAATTCTCAATGACACTAAGACTAGCCTCTTTTTTTGCCAAAAGTTTATGAGATTAGAATTGATGGACAACAATCTTGTTTTTTCTGATAACATCAGTATGTCCATCAACAGTATGGTGCTGGCCTGTCGTGACCTCTGACTTTTAGCAGTAATTTTTTACAACTCAATAATTCACTGAGTGATATCAATTTCTGTGCTCTATTAGTATCATTTATATCATGCGATTGATAATTGATCCTTTTGCTTACATCTCTAAGTTTGCATTCACTATTTGAGCTTCTTTTTTTTGATCTTGTTTCCCTCTTAACTTAGCAGAACTTCATCCTTTATTCATTTATGTTATTATTGTAACCTCGGTTAAGAACAGTCGCAATTAGTCATCGTTACATGACTCTAATTAGGTGAGTAATAATTATTGTGAAATGTCATCATATTACATTAAATATTACAAATACAAATCCCTGTATGCAATTTTAGAAGATCGATGATTTATTAGTTAGAGTTACTTGACTGGGATAACGCAGGGGTTCTATTGTTTGGTAATCGTTATTGATCGGTAACGATACGACGATAAATCTGCTAGGAATCATTCCACAGGGTATTTTATCTTTCTTTTTTTTTATTTTGTTTTGTTTGACAAATCTTTTAACATATTTATATATGCTGGATTTTGTAAGGTTTATTAAACAAAAACAAAGGGCACATTGTAAAATTTCGTTCCAGTTATTGACGGATTTTCGAGAAACTTCAGGAACGCTTAATCTATTTTGATATATTTTCGGGATTGAATCTGTAAATTGTTGGAGTATTCTATGTTGGACATATTGATATATGCATTTAGCAGGTGTTTCTTGTGGATTTTTAGTGTAAAATTCCAAAATCTTTTTTCTTACATTTTATTACTATCAGGTGAAGAGAAGCACATTTTATCTACTAACTGTGTCTTCTGTGCTAAAATCAATGCTTATCACACAATTTTCAGTGTAATAAGCCTTTGTGATGTTTCCAGAAGTAAGAGTGACTATTGCCTTTCCGGTCTTTTGCTTCTCATTCAAGTATTGGAAGTTTAAAATGAAAATAGAAATTAAAATAATGAATCGTCTTTTTTCCCTTCATTTGCAATAAGTGAAATTTTACATCATGAATTCTGCAACTAATTACTGAAGTGTTCTCTATGAAGAGGAGTAATGAAGTTGTTTAACCTTCAATTAAAAGCTAATAATAACCTAACTGTGTGAGCTTGTTAAGGTGACGGATAGATGATAGTGGTGATGGTCATCATATCATATTCAATGATAAGTACAACATTTCATTGTTCTGCCATGTCTCACTTAGCGTTTCATGATACATCGTGCATTATGTAACCGTGTGAGGGTTTAAATATACAAGTCAGCGGCGAATAAAAATTGTGAGAGTAATTTAATTCGAAAATCGTTTTATTGATTTTCGCAATTTTTTTTTTCTGGTGGAATATGTTTATTTGACAAAAAGATTAGCTAATATTGAGATGAAAATGAAGTAAAGATAATGAAAATTTTTTGGCCTGGTTCAATAGACTAACTTGATGGTACTCTTCTCTTAGTTTTTGATTGTCTAAAAATTGATACGACATTTGAGAATTCTCGAAGCACTATAGTGGAGTGACTACCAAATGATTCAATGGACAACTGAAATGGTATAATTATTCAATTGAGTTGTTGCCTGATTGAGAGAATACATCTTACGCATTATGTATGAGAGAAAAGTGTTTATAGATATATATAATATCAGATATCTTGGCCAGCCTCTGGTATATGCGTCAGTAATTTTCTGGTCATTGCTCATATTCATCGGGCCATGAACAGGGATTGATATGATAATTGCTGTAACTGACAGGAATAAAATGGGGTTCGACTGCGCCTGGATCATTGATCTATCTCCATCTCTCAGCACCTGACTGAGCATAAGGCGTTCATATAGACACACATGGCACCAAGAACATTTCAATTTTCTCCTAATATTAGAAACAACGTTTTCAGGGATCGAACTATTTTCAAATAAATTATTCAAATATAATTTTGGTATCTTCCATGTGTTATTTATGGATGATTTGAAACTAGAATAAATTGTTATAAAAAATGGTTTAATAGTTAAGTGAATGTGTCGCATTATTGAGTCTTTATGACTTTGAAGTCTTTATGACTTACGAATTGAAAAGTATTATTAGTGGAATGAAAGCCTGAAGTGAGTTGAATGAAACTGGAGTATAATTCATTTATCTAAACTTAATTTATTCCATCATTTGCTTTTATACTGAATATTTAAGCAGCTGTTCCCGAAAATACGATAGAAAGAGAATCGAAATTAGTAGGACTTTAAACTTTGTCTCAAAATTGAACTCATTTACTTTATCTTATCCTTCTGCACTCAGTTCGTTAATTTAGTAATGCAACTTAGCAGTTCTTTGTTACATGCTTTTTTAATAATTAGTTATAAAATTCGGAATTATCAAAAAAGCGGACTGAGACATTATAGGAAATAGTTTCCAGATAGGCCAGAAGATTTCCTTTCACAGCTGATAAAAGAGATACATCTATTAGTTAAATTTCGGTTTACTGTAGTAGTGTAAACAGGTCATCAAATATTATTTCCTTAATTTACGCTCATTCCCTTCCTTTCTGCTTAATAAACTTCCTCTCAAGTATCGGGAATTTTCATAGAGCATTAGCAGCACTTTTCATCTCATCCTATCCTTTCTTTTACCGTAATCCAGATGTGCCTATTGTATGTATGTGCTTGTTTATGTGTATGTATGTATGTATTTATGTATGTATGTGTGTATGTGTGTGTATGTGTGTATGTGTATGTGTACGCATATATGGCTACTTGAATTTGTCATTTATCGGTTCCGCCCATTAATATTTTATGTTGAGAAATATGCTTTTGCCAGTTGTCATGCGCTTGATTTGTTTAAAATTTTGAATGAATTTAATGAAATAACTATAGATGAAAATGAAATGATTTGAATGTTAAGGTATGGAGAAGGAAGAAAAGAAAGATATTAAAATTTCATTCCATTCCATTCCGTTAAATAATCATTGAATGAACTGATGGCTTATCAAATTTTCAACTCATATAAATCTTTTTTTATTCAACGAATGTCATTGTGTCCTTAATTTGACAGGCCTAATTTTTCTTTTCTCCCTCTTCTTAACAACAACTGATCGAATCAGTTACTAATCAAATTACATTCTCAATCTTCCAAAAGTAATCATTTTATTTATAGATTTTATTGTACTGTGATAATTTGCATGGACGATGGCATTTTCACGAGATACGCGCTATTTTTTTGCGCCGTTACTTACTCAAAAATATCGCACTGGAACTATTCCTCGCTTCAAGAAGTAAGTTTTACAATATCTTGATAGAGTACTTAGTATAATACGATTAAACCATTACTGAAGACTTTTACTTAATCTCTTGCTAATTTTTTATTCTTCCTTTTAGCTGCTATTATGTTTGCATTTGTGGATGAAAATACAGTGCGAAAAGTGGTAGATTGTTTGCCACGAGTTGGTGTTGGTGCTAAATATGGTTTACCACAGAGTCGTAAAACAAGTCTAATGACTCCACGACAGCTTTTCAAGCATTCTGATATGCCACAGAAATGGCAACGACGAGAAATTTCGAATTTTGATTACTTGATGTTCCTAAATACCGTCGCTGGTCGAACCTACAACGATTTGAATCAATATCCAATTTTCCCCTGGGTTTTGGCTAATTATACATCGCCAACGTTGGATCTTAACATCGCATCCAACTTTCGTGACTTATCGAAGGTGATTTTCGATTTTCATCATCTATATGAGGCATTTTAATACTAAATGTTATAATGAATTGAATTTTATTTGATGAAATAATGAAAGAACTTCAGCTAGACAAAATATGTGCTAATTCATAGATGACAGTCAATCCCAGATATTTTACCTAAATAGCTACTGCTCATCAACTTGCACAGCATGCATTTGTAAAGATGATACATAAGCGTTCCATGGACAGTTCACCAATGGTATACATAAACAGTACGGGATACTATTAAGAGGACTCGGAAATAATATTGTAGACTGTGTGGCGCTGAATAGAGCTGTCCGGTGCGTGACGCTTGATTGATGTTTAATGAAGTGTATGTATTGGATGCAATGATGAATTGCATGTTTCCCAACCTTGTTGCAACTTGATATGAGCGAAACATTTCACATATCCCACGGGTTTATATGATTGCTTCTTTATATCTATCTACATCATGATCATCTCTTGTCCCTTTCAATCCGTTCCATATCATCATTTTTTCATTTGCTCTTCTTCCACTTTTTTTTCGTCTTACCTCAAATTAACGTCGGAATTGTAGGTTTCCTAAAAGTGTGAAGGAAATTTCTCGGCTTTTTAATTCTTAAAACATCCTGGATATAGAAATGCATTATATTGACTGTGGAATGTTTACTGTTTCACCGCTCTTGCACCTTCATTTTAAGCCGGAATTCCTTGAAATAATTTTTGGATAAAAGGATGTCAAGTGGCAACTTGATGAAAGTTTTTTTTTGGAATTTTGTTAACAAAATATCATAATTGCAGCCAATTGGGGCACTGAGCGAGAATCGGCGTAAATTTTTCCAGGATCGTTATAGCTCATGGGAACACGAGACTATTCCTCCTTTTCATTATGGAACACATTATTCGACACAAGCATTCACTCTGAATTGGTTATTCAGAGTTGTATGTTTTACTTTTGTATTATTTCATCCCATACTAGTACGGTTTATCGGGAGTATTCGAATCCATCGTTTTCTACAGAGTTGGACTATGGATTGCGATTATAAGATTGTTATAAAATCTGGCAACTACGAGTTGTTAGATCAAGCGATTAGAGTGATTAAAGTGCGATGAAATTGGATCACGATTTCCGTGTCACAGACTATAACACATTGTGCGATTACATTCACTGTGATTTCATAGTTTTCCTAAATTCGTAATTTTTCTTTTTTCCAGGAGCCATTTACGACAATATTCCTGCACATGCAAAGTGGTAAATTCGATCATTCAAACCGTCTATTTCATAGCATAGCTGAGTCATGGGAAAGTTGTCAGCGTGACTCACATGATGTCAAGGTGTGTTGCTATCAAAGGCTCGTGGGACTTTCCTGTTTCATTTTTTCGTGAAAACCTTTTGGACACTGTATTATATAGTGAGGGAATGACAACATAATGTTTAACAAAATACAACATGTTGAGAGATTGATCTAGTCACAAGTGGGACCATAATCAGCATTTTTCTGTATTAACACGAGAAAATCACTGTAAAGGGAATGATCAGATAGTTCCATTGACTGGCATACCTTTTAATTAATTTTAACGGTTTACTGCAATTCTGTTTAGCTTCTGATTTCAATTGTTTAATTCATAAAGTTCGTAGAAAAATTCATGTATTTCTGTTGAGTTGCCGAAAACCTTAAAAATTTAATAATTATAGGAATCAATACCGGAACTGTATTACATGCCAGAAATGTTGCTAAATACGAATGGATATGACTTAGGGAAACGTGATGACGGATCCGCTGTTGGTGATATCGTTTTACCACCATGGGCAAAAAGTGCTGAGCATTTTATTACTTTGCATCGACAAGCACTTGAATCGGATCTTGTCTCATGCCAGTTGAATCAGTGGATCGATCTTATTTTTGGTTACAAGCAAAAAGGACCTGAAGCGGTAAGTTCCTCTGCATATAGGCTGAACCTCGAGAACTATGTGTAAAGTAAAAGTAACAGTGATTAAGATTGATTCATTTAGGTGCATTTGACATTTATTTGGTTCATAGTTTGACTAATTTAATAGTAATTTTAGCTTATGTGCACTGAAGTAGAACAGGGATATTGATGAACAATATGTGAAAAAGATAGTGAAATTTATTGAATGGTTGTTTAGGAGGATCCCTATTTATCTTTAGGAATATGACTTACAGTTAGTTGTTTTTTAGGTGTGATTGAAATGAATTCAAAATTTGTTACTGGGAAGTTTACAGGTTCGTGCTACAAATGTCTTTTATTACTTGACATATGAGGGAGCACTGGACTTAAATTCGGTTGATAATGCGGCCATGCGTGAAGGTCTCGAGCAGCAGATGATATCTTTTGGGCAAACTCCTGCTCAGCTGATGACCGAACCTCATCCACCTCGTCATTCCATTATGACTATCGTAAGTTGCTTTGTCTGCTGTTATGATCATGATAAACTGACAGTTTGATGTCGGTGTGTTTTTGACGTTGTCAGTCTCATTCCAGAGTCCGATGATGTTCCAGTCCTGTCGAGATGATTTATGCATGTTGATGAAATTTATATCAAATAGTTCAGTGGTTCATATTAGTGCGAACACATTTGCGCAACTGACACATCCTACGGTTGTTTCGATAACAAATAATTTAATCTTCGCACTGAATCGTTGGAATACGAATTATGCAGGTTGGTGGTTCTATAAAAGTTGTGAAGAACTGTCATGGTATGCAATCATTCTGTTAGTATGAAGCATTCAGACATAATGGTAGTTTCATTAATAAAATCTATGTCTAATGTTATTGGAAAACTTGAGTTAACAGTGACTGGTTTTGTAAAAGTCAATGTTTTCTTGTTAAACAAATTCTCCATATTTTTTTCACATTCTAGCTTGCTATATTAGCATACTTATGTAATTTGTAGGGCTAAGGATTAGTAAACATTTCATATTGCATAAATCAATAAAGAATTTAAACTGTGGGGATTAATACATTTTAAAATTTGAATGTAATTATACCGCTTCTCTAAAGGACCATCAGTTCCTTCCATTTCAAATGCCATTGGTAATCAGAATAACGAAAATAACCCGGATTCGATGGGTAATACGATTGCAAATCTACCTTTAACAGTTGATCCACTTTTGGCTGCAGGTTCATGTTTCAGATTTAAAAATTTGTTGTGAAATCATTAGCTCTGTCTGATCATGCAATGTAGTACAGGCATGATGATACCTTGCGTGCACAGTCATGTATTGATCACCTGAAAGAGGTTGCAGTGGTTCTGCATGACTAGCTACCAGTAAGGCTTTTCTTGGTTTAGACCATTGCAACTTTCCTGGTCAGCTCAATTATTACTATTTATTTTCAAATATACATTACAGTTGTTGCATTAACATTAACCATACTTTGACCATCGTACAGTAGTATGGAACAGTGATGATATGTGTTTGGCATTAGCTTTGGTGAAAATAATTGGAGTCGTTATCACAGGTAATCCATCCCAACCACTGCCTCGTCGACATTTGGGTGAACCATTCGATCAACGTCTAAAAATTCGGTGGAATAATTTTGTGACAGCTGTTGAAAGTCGTTCGATAATAGCATGCGGTTATCCGGACTACAGCTTTCGTGTTATTGACACAGACACCGGTATTAATATGCTAGCCGCATTCTTTTGCATTTACTTTCATTTTATCCAGGTTTTTTGAAATCTATAGTAAATCATATGGAATTCAGTTATAACTCTCTTCATTCGATTCTTTGATGTCAATTCTGAAACATTCTGGAAACTTACATCATCAATTCAGATATTAATTTGTGAAATCCAAATTGTTCCAGCAAAAGTGCGGCAGGTAATTTATGGACATTGTGACGTGGTTACGTGTTTAGCGCGTTCTGAAACTAACCTTTTCGCTGATTGCTATATTGTTTCTGGTAGTTTGGATTGTACGGTGGTACTATGGCACTGGAACGCACAAACACAATCAATTGCTGGGGAGTATAACGTTGTAGGTGAGTATTTCTATGTTTTGGGAATTTTAAATAAAATTGAATTTTCTTTTAAATCCATTATGTTAAATATGAAAGAATAAGGATCAGCAAATTTATACGGATGCTTATAGAGAACTGTTCCTGTTGTACGGTTTTGCAGTTGTACGAGAATGCTTACTTTGTCTTTTAGCTAGTCGTAGTATCAAAAAGCGTAACTCAAAATGAAGAACAAAGCCAAACTGAAAGCTTACTTTTAATGGCATTCTTTCGAAACTAAGTTTCCATTTCATGCAGTAATATGTATAGATTACCGATTGATTCATCTGGTATTTGTTTCTGAAACTTAATTTTGGCAGATGGCTGATTCATTTAGGCGAACCAGCAACACCTCGTGCGATACTGACCGGTCATGAAACTATTGTCATGATGATTTGTGTATCAGCTGAACATGGTATTGTCATTTCTGCATCTCAAGGTAAGCGTAGTTTTGTAGTTTTGACCTTTAAATTGACCTCTATCTCGATTCTAACTTTTCTAAATGAAACGTCCATTATCCTGAATTTACAGAAATGTAATTATGAGTAATGTGAATATTTAAGCATTATTTGCAGACGGAACTGTTCTCATCCATACTACGACGGGTGATTTATTAAGACGGCTGGAATCCGAAAATTCGCATTGTTTTCCAGATAAGGAAGTGAATTTGTTGTTAGTGTCAAGAGAGTGTATATTGCTGGTGTTGCATGGACATGACAATTTAGTTACATATACTACAAGTGGACGAGAATTAAGTTGTTTGAGGTATTATTGGTGTATCTTTATCTTTTTAACGAATGAGAAGTAAAAGACGATTTTATAGTAGCTTATTCATTGTTTATACGAGGGAGCTGTTGCAAGTAGTAACTTGTGATTCTTTCAGTGTCATAGTATTGCAGAACATTTGTCAGTATTTTGGTACAGCGCAATCTAAATTTAACGATAAATTTAGAACGAAATTGACTAACTCTCTATTCAATACCACTGCACAAATTTATTTCTAGAGTTCCCGAAAAGATTTTATGTGGAACATTATCACGTGATGGGGAATACGTTGTTGTTGGAACGATGGATGGCCGTGTTGCAGTCTTACGACTTTTTCCTATGCAATTATTGTATACATTCCAGGTTAGTAATCTTCTGTAGAAGCTGTTGAAACTGTTTTATTTGTTAGCACATTCATTTTAACTAAAACTCACTATTTCATTTTTTTTTCCTTTTACTTGAAATTCTAGTTTTAGCAAACAGACAGCGCAGTTCGAAGTATAGCTTTGTCTTCCAATCAACGATTTGTATTGGCAGGGCTTGATTCCGGTGCTATTATTGTTTTCAATATTGATTTCAATAAATGGCATTATGAGTATCACCATCGTTATTCAGTACGATGATTGGAATCAGGAATTTTCATCATTTCACTGCTTTTTACTCCATATCAGTTTGACCCGTATATTCCTTGAGGTTCTTTTTGCGGCACTGACTAGATTTCTTCATACTAATTTAATCTCTACATGGGAAATAAATTATTGGTTAATTATTTTATCATTGATTATGTCATCACAGTTAACTGTTTCAGTTTGATATTGTGATATGTTGTTAAGAAATTGTGGTTTACTTTTGGCTTGGTTTGGTTTATTTGGTGATTCTTTCATTTTTCTTTCATTCCTATTGATGACTGATAACGCCGAATTGAATGTGATGGCAAACATGCACAACGATATACATACACATATACATATACACATACACACACACACACACACACACACACACACACACACACATAATATCCACATATACCCACACATACATAGATACACATACATTTACAGACATATACATATACATATATATAACACACATACATGCACACGCACACATACACACAGACATACATACATATATACACATATATACATAAATGCACGCACATACGCGTACATACACACACATGATGATGCGAAATAAAATTGATTTAGAGTATGTGACATATTCGAAGTGGTTGACATCGAAAGTTCTCTCAGTTTGATTTAAATTTGCTTAGTTTACTTC